CATAGGCCGCCGCCCCCCTCTGCCAGCAGTAATTGTCTTAGAATCAAGGGCTGGTCAGCCGCCCATCACCAGACTCCTGCCAGTCCCACAGGTGTACCTGTAGCCGCAGTTCGTCCTTTCTACCGATCCCTCGATAACGTAGGAGGTGCCTATTGGACGCGACACTTAGCTTTAAATCAAATTGGTGAGTTAGTGTACACTCTACGTCAGTAGATGCTAATCTAAAGAACATGTCACTGCAACGTTGAAAGTGTTCGAACCCATTAGGGACATTTCATTCAGAAAGTTTGCGTCACGTCTATCTGTGCGCACATTCCATTCCCACGTGCACGGCCATTCATCCTTCCAACCTGCTGCTTTCTTTCCAGTAGGTGCAGTCTCGTCCACAGGAATTGCAGTATAAACAAGATTGTATTCTACTGTAGTGTCTTATGAATCTTTTTGTTAATTGGAAGTTATTTTTTGTGTTTATAATACTGCCATTTTTCTGGGCATAATTTCATACACTGGTCCAAAAGCACTATTATTTAACTCTAAGATAACTTCTACAATGCTCGACATTTGGGGATGAAATCGTATTTAGACTCTGTAACTATTTTTGTTTTTCATTTGCCTTGTGTAAGATGCGAATCGTAAGCCTAAAGGGAATGATTTTAGGCCTATTTGCCCTCTTCGCCCTCTTTGCTTACCAGCACCAGCTCCTGAAAGAGGCGTATGTATTGATTTCTGGATTTTTTCCGATCGGTGAAGTTGTGCGAGAAAAAAAGAACAACCGAAATGAAACCACATAGAGAGTAGAAAATCCCATAGCCACGATACCTGTTTTAAAAAATCAACCCAGCAAACCAAATGCTACTTACGAAAAATGGTTGGTATCTGAATATTATCCTAGAATTTGTTTTCGGAGGAGAGAGAGAGAGAGAGAGAGAGAGAGAGAGAGAGAGAGAGAGAGAGAGAGAGAGAGAGAGAGAGAGAGAGAGAGAGAGAGAGAGAGAGAGAGAGAGAGAGAGAGAGAGAGATGAAGGTAGAGAGAGAGAGAGAGAGACAGACAGACAGACAGACAGGCAGACAGACAGATAGACAGGCAGAGATGAAGAGTGGGAGAGGTGAAGAGAGAGATAGACTGACAGATGAGAGAGAGGGGGGAGGGGAGTTTTAAAATACACAAAACTTAGTAGGTAGACGAACCACTTCCACTAGGGAGAAGAATACCCATATTCGAATGTCTGCCCTGAAGAAAACGTAAATCATCGTGGTGAATAGCAATGACAGCAATAGTAATAGTATCAACAATGCCGCTAAAAAGAAAAGGGGAGTATCAGACTGATAGGTATACTAAAACACACACACACAATTCGTTTTATAACACGGGAAGCAGAAGACCCAGTTAGAGGGAGAGACACATGTTTGGCCGAGAGCGACGCGTGGTCTGAGGTTGAGGTCCCGCGCCGCCGGTGTGACCGCGCGCAGGATGGCCTCCGTCTCGCACTGGATGGAACGGCCGACAGAAAGTGCTCCCCAAGCATTGAATTAAAATTTCAAGTGTGATGTCCGAAAACCGCTGCTAATCATTACAGAACATTATTGAAAAAAATATTAATGTTAAATTACTTGTGGAGTTACAGGCTACGATTTACAGTAAAATCAAAGCCACGAGAGGAAGGGGGGTGAATAGATAGGAAACGGATTGAAAAAAAACTCAAAATGTGCATGCTTGATCACGTATTCACAGTGATCCAGATTATACACTGTGTTTGTAGTATTTGGGAGCCGAAGTCAGATGTGTACTGCGGAGGAACTTCATGACGTTTGGAGTAATTTCTGGGAAGATATTTAACATTCAATTGCGTTTCCATTTGAACACAAATGCTTTACAGAATTTGAACATGGTTAATACTAAAGCGCCACGAACCATACCTGTCTAATTCTGTTGGTGTAGGTCATAAATAGAATATTACCGTAGGTCAGGGTATGAGATTACGGATGTCGATATCAACTTTTATCATAGATAGTGGGAATAGCCCTACCAAAGACTTTGTAACCCTTAGGATCTGTTAACTCTCTAAAGGACAAGGGTCAGAGATAGCTTCTGTCAGCAGGTTACGGATTTGCTGTTATGTATGAGCACAAAGAAACTGCCAAGGAGGATGATATTTGGGCTAGCAACTGCATATTAGATATGGTTTATGGATTAATGTTAACACGTATACCGACCGGGAAAACTGTGACAGGCGCGCCATTTGACAAGCAGCTAGGCCTTTCCGACACGGCTGATGGTATATTTCTTTCATTAGTATATGGGTATGTAAGTACAACTGTATTGCTATATTTATATGTTTACGCATTAGAGAAAAAGCACTTCGCTTTTCGCAGTTAACCCGAGAAAATGCCGTGCCATCGATAGATGAACAGCTATTCCGCGTTTACGTAACCCCAGCCGCGGAACTTACGTAAAGCGCCGCGCGTGTGTCGACTCTCCTTCTCATTCACATTCATTATA